GCATTTATCAGTGGGACTGGATCCCTCAGATTAAATCCAGTCATAGAACAATAGAGTAATACTTCAAGCAGCTATTATTATCCTTTACTTCTAACTCTCAACAGATTTAATGTAGATTTGTTGAATTAAATTAACACTAACAACTCACATTTATATATTGATTTGCAGCTTTCAAAGGATTTTAATTCTCAGTTTAAATAGAAAGAACACCAGACTACCAGTATACTCTGACTCATCTCTTCTTTTTTTAAAAAATGTATTTTTATTGATTTCAGAGAGGAGGGGAAAGGGAGAGACAGATGGAAACATCAATGATAAGAGACAATCATTGATCGGCTGCCTCCTGCAGGGCCCCTACTGGAGATCGAGCCTGCAACCCTGGCATGTGCCCTTGACCAGAATCGAACCCCGGGACCCTTCAGTCCCTAGGCTGATGCTCTATCCACTGAGCCAAACCAGCTAGGGCATCTTCTCTTTTAATATATGGAAAAAAAACAAGCTTTGAAAACATTTCTTGTTTGGAAAACAGTGTGTCTAGTTTGATTATGAAGACATTTTTGTCTAAAAACCTCTGCTAGAGTTTTTACTTCTCACTGAAAATAATCTGTAGCAAAAAGGAATTTCCCCAACACAGCCCATTTCTGTTTATTTTAACCTTTAATAAATTTCCAAGTCATCCTCACCGAGGCAAATGTTGCCAGCACCCAGCCCATTTAGCTTTGGCCTATCACCCTCGTGAGTTCTGGCTGCCTGCACCTGCATCTTTGACAAGGGCTGTGGGAAGGTAGGATATGCTGGGATTTTAACATTTCCTGGGACCAGCCCTCAACCAATGATTGACAGAAGTTGCTGTAAAAATACTCCCACTTCCTTGGGTATCCCATCCTGGGTGGGATAACTGGCACTTATTCTACACTGTCCCCAACTTCCCAGTGGGATGAAGTTCCAGCCGCTCCCTTGTTTGATAATGTACCATTTATTAGCTGCTTCCCCTTCCATATCTCATTACTCCCTCTATTCTTGCTTCCTGGGATCACCTCTCAAATAAACTACTTGCACTCAAACCCTTGTCTCAGGTCTGCTTGTGAAGGAACTCAAACACAGACCTCCCCAAAGTACATTTCACTAGGAGGGCACCAGGCTAGCCTATCACATCCAAACCATTAAGTCACCTAACAAGGTGTGAAGCTGTCTGTTAATCCTTTGCTCAAACAATTTTTGAGCTTATCACCGTCCACTGATTTCATTGTTCTCCTGGGCAGGTCTACTCCACTTGCTACCCTCATTCTGTTAATTATAGTGTAAAATTTTCAATTAAAAATAAAGAAGATAAATTTGGTTAGTAGCTTTAAAGCTGTCAGTCTACACAGAGTAAGAGAGACACCAAGACTGTACAAATCAGTTCGGGCTCAGGTTCTCTGCTGAGGAATTAAGAATGAGGTATTGGATGTTCAGTTTTCTCACTTATACCAAAGACAAAGAAAACAGTTTTAATCCTCACCCAAGGATTTTAGAGAGAGAAAAGGGGAGAGAAAGGAAGAGAGAGAAACATCGATCAGTATGCACCCTAAACAGAGACTGAACCCACAACCTAGGTATGTGCCCTGAACCAGGAATCAAATCCAAAACCTTTCGAATCCAAAACCAACCGAGACACACCAGCCAGGGTGAGAGAATATTATATTACAAAATTTGTAATCAGCTATGTAATTAGACATAATTTTTGTAAGGTTCCAAGTATTTAATAAATGTTGAAGACTAGGACCTTGCTCTGGATTGAAGTTTCTGTTCAATTCTTAGATGTCATCTACTCTAAGATTAGTGTAGACATTGTCATCTCCTCAACAACACATACCTGCCAACTGGCCATCAATATTCCTCTTTTTTTTTGTTGTTAATCCTCACTCCAAGATATTTTTTCCATTGATTTTTAGAGAGTGGAAGGGGGCGGGGGAGAGAGAGAGAGAGAGAGAGAGAGAGAGAGAGAGAGAAAGAGAGAGAGAAATATTGATGTGAGAGAGACACATCTATTGGCCACCTCATGCATGAGCCCTGACCAGGCCGGGATCAAACCTGTAACCCAGGCACATGCCTTTGACCCAGAATCAAACCTGAGACCCCTCGGTGACTCCAACCATTGAGCCACACTGGCCAGGGCAACACTCCTCTTGAACATTTTCAGATATGGAGAACTCATTACTTAATGGGACAGCTAATTCCTTTTATTTATCAACCTTAATCATTAGACAGTTCTCCCTTTAACTGAACCAAAATCTTTCTCCTGCAGTTGTCATATTTTGGTGGGAATTTTCTTGGGAGAAATTACTGAATTAGTTGAATGCCTCATCCCACATAGAGCATTGGAGAATAGGAACTATTTGAAAACATATTTAATGTGCCTCTTAAGTTGTCAACCCCCTCCCCATCCCCCAATCTTTCAGCTTTCCTTAGCAGGCTATGGTTCAGAGCCCTCTGGTACCTTGTCTATCTGTCACTCTTCGTCTTGGAATGAGGCACCCATTAGAACCAATTTAGTTGTCCAACAATTGGGGATTGGAAAATTTAAATACAATGCAGCATGAGTAAAAACTGTATAGCCCTATAATCATGTTTTGAAGAGTATTTAATGATATAAAAGTGTTCATGACGTATCGGGTGGAAGGGGGCATACTGTATATGCCACAAGGGCCCAGTTTCATTAAAAATACGCACATAGAAATGAACACGACACTCATAGAACCCATAGAGTCTTTCAGGTATATTCTGATATCACAGAGTTGAGAGGAGCTAGTACCTTTCAATTTGGATGCTTTCCTTTCCCATTTCAGCTTACGGGTTTCGGCAGAATCTCAAGGTTAATTAGCATTGTATCTGCAGTTCATCAGAGCCCCAGGGAATTTTTCCCCCCTCTTGAGTTATTATCCCTTTTAATCTGACAACTGGTATTGGGATCAGCCCTTCACAGAAACAACGGGGCTGGGCAGAGAGCAGGGAAGGAGGCCCAGGTCAGTCTCTGTGTAAGTGGCTTTGGTGGGAACTGGACTGGCAGGAGTGAGAGGTCAGTCTTCCAGCCCGACCGGCAGATACCCTACCTTGAAGTCCTACAAGCTGCAAGATGGAGCAACACTGGTCTGCAAAAGTGAGCAGAACCCTGTTTGGCGGCTTTGCGAGGTGCTGGGTCCTGGAGATGGCAGGAAACCTGTGCAGCCACAGCTCAGGTCTGGGGAGAATACTAATGCCTCTGTGTGCACCTCCACAGGCTACCATCCCCGCCAGGTCTGTGTAAGAAAAGCCTGAGGGTATCAAAGCGCTGGAGAAAACGCAACACAAGCATTTCTGAATCTCCCTTTTGGAGAACTCTCCAGAGCCCCGCAGCTATTGGGGAGACAGAGAAAGGGATGGCATGAGAGGAGGCAAACAAGGCTCTATGTGGGGCAGTCCCTTTAAGGAGGCAAAAGGGACAGCCAGGCAGACAGCTCCACGGGTGTCTGCAGGAGGGGAGAAAGGACACAGGAAGGCGAGGAGAAATGTTTGCTTAGACTCTGCAGATGGACCACTGAGGCGGAACCTGCAACTCATAAGTGGTTCTTTATTGTCTTGTCTACAGGAGTGGAGTCTCATCTCTTGGAACAGAGCTTCGGATTAATTTTTGTCATGTCTCTTTGGGCCCACTTTGTCTGGACGGTGCCAATGATTCATTTAATTTTCTTTTTAATTATTAAAAAGATGCTCAGCCCTATGTATACTCTTGTAGATTTATAAGACTCCTGCAGTAAAGAGAAACCCGGCCCATGGGTGCTCTGTTTCCTAATGCTCAATGCACTGAACACGTGGAAAATCTCTGTTCTCTTTTTGCATTGTCGATACACACTTTCTAGGGCAGTGATGGCGAACCTTTTGAGCTCGGCGTGTCAGCATTTTGAAAAACCCTAACTTAACTCTGGTGCTGTGTCACATATAGAAATTTTTTGATATTTGCAACCATAGTAAAACAAAGACTTATATTTTTGATATTTATTTTATATATTTAAATGCCATTTAACAAAGAAAAATCAACCAAAAACAATGAGTTCGCCTGTCACCTCTGACACGCGTGTCATAGGTTCGCCATCAATGCTCTAGGGTGAATGACCCAGGATGTTGATCCCCAAACACTTCTTTTCTCTATTGAAGTTCATGTTCTCTTCAGTATGACCTCTTCAGCTACTAAAATAACATTCTGAATACTTAGTTCTGCAGCTTATAGAAGTATTGGTTAGTAATAGTTTAGATAATTTTAAGTGAACACCACCAATGCTCGAATAGAGGCTCTCCTGGGGTTAAAATAAAGGGATCACTTATCTTTAAAGGGTTTGTAAGTTTCATCAGGGAAGCAGAGTGACTTGCTGGGTCAAAGTCAGGGCATGTGGTTCTAGCCCAACAGCATTTCCCATGCCTTTCTGTTAATATCTCTTACCTGTCAAGGGAAACTAAATGCTCTACACAGTGTTGTGGGGGCAAGTCGGTGTGCAGGGCTCATAAACACAGAAATAATAAAAAAAGATGATGTTCTTGCTTTCATACAGCTATGGTTGCAATGTGAGTTGCTGCACTTTTTGGCATTTTGCCATCAGTTTCATCCAGCAAAAACCCAACAGGCTCATTTCCACCCTTCAATTCAATCCTAGTATCCTCAGCTAGAGTTGATTTTAAACCTCCCTCGTATCTGCCCCTCCCTGTACCTTTCAGACCTCAAATTTCCTGCTTTTCTTCTTAGGAAGCCACCAGTTTTTTCTGCTGCTAGGCTCCATACCCTGTCTGTTTGTCTTTGGCCTGAGCTGTGGGCTCTAACAAGACGGGCAGTTTTAGTGTGCATGCCTGTGCATGCATGGACGTGTTTACATGTGTGTTCCATGTGCATGCATGTATGTGTAAATGTGCATGTGTATGTTCCCAATAACAAGGGACACTAGAACACCTAAGGTGCACATGTTTCCCCACACAGGTCAGCTTGTACTTACATAGTTTGAGGCCAGGTCTGGGTGGAGATAGTCAATCCCTGTGAAAAGACAACAGCACAGGAGCGAAAGGTTAATAACCTGCCACTGTCCTCGGGGAAGCTGCTCTAGAAAGATCTTATGTGCTGCACCCAGGATACACTGTGCCTGAGGCCCCAGCCTTGTGTTTCGCTTCCTGAGTGAGGGTGGGTGGGTTGCACTGCCCAAGTGAAGAGACAGCTGCCACCCGATGCATTGGAGGAGGGAAGCCAATTAGAGCTTGGAGCCTCAGGATAACACTTCTGCCATAAATGTCAGCACAAAGGGGCTTAGTGTGTATAAGATTGATGGCTCATCAGGGCAGTGATGCAAGAGAGATTTGTGGAAATCCTGACATTTCTAAAGCATCAACAGGCGTTTCTTTTGAAATGAAACTGGCTGGGGGGCGGGGGGAGGGGGGAAGCAATGGATTAGTAGAGGGTTCTCTGGCATAGAAATAGTAAGAGTAACATAGCTGGGCAAGAAAAGCGATTAAGTGACGAGCAAATGGTCTGCAATGTGTCCCAAGTGGGAGGTGATACTTGTCTTTCCAGACTGTGGCTTTCCTGGAAGCTGAGACCTCGAGTCGCCCTGCAGGGGTCCTGTGCTTTCTCCTGCATGTGGACTACCTTGTTGCCCAATGTCATTCCAGTGGTAGCATTATGGCCCATGAGTTGCTGGCCTCTATCAGACTCGTGAGCCTCAGAAAGCACCCTGGAACTTCAAGGGCAAATTGAAAAGTTTTCCTCCAGGTCTGAGAGCCATATAATCATTGCAGTTTCATTTCATCTGAGCATCTAGCCCTCCAAGAAAACAGCCAGGCTCCTGCACTACCTAGTATAATGGTTGTAAGTGTAGGTTTTGGAATCAAAGATTCGAGTTTGAATTCCAGCCACGCTGCCAACTGGCTGCATGACTTTGGGGAAAGCGTGTGGCTTCTATATGCTTGTTTTCTTCTTGATCTAGTGGAAGTGAGAACAGTGTGGTGTGCTTGTAATGGTGGCATTTAACAACTCTATTGGGTTGCAATATTTAAAAGCCAGAAGTATTCAGCATCTTTACTGCATGCATACCAAAGTCAGGTCACAGCTATAGCTTTGTTCTGCAAAAAGGAACTTATATCAGGATGCATATAGTTGACCCTTGAACAACAAGGGTTAGAGGAGCCAACTTCCTGGGCAGTTGAAAACCTGCATATAACTTAAGTCGGTCCTCCACGTATGTGGATTCCCAACCACCAGTTGACCCTTGAAGAAAGCGAGTTTGAACTGTGCTGACCAATAGAAAAACCCACGTATAAGTGGACCCACACAGTCCAAGCCAGCATTCTTCAAGGGTCAACTGTATTTGTAAAAAAAGTTTTCCTTTGTTTTTTTTCTTATTGCAAAAGTCATTTCTGGTAAGTACTTTTTAGACTGGCAATCACTGTTCTCGGGAAAGCTGCTCTAACATGTTTCATATCTTGCTGCTGATATTTTGACATCTGAAACAATTACTGTTACCATGCTGATTTCTATATCTTGGGAGAGTATAGCTGGTCACTTCCTGTCCAATATCCTCCTCCTTCTCCTCCCCCTATTCCCCTCTCAAGGACTGCAGAGAGACAGGGGTTAGAATACTTAAAGACAAATATTTAAAAGTTTGCAGACCCATGTTCTGGACTCTAATTTAGAGATGGTTAGTTTAGATTGTGTTGGGGATGAGCCTGGGCCATGGGACCAACAGATCCAGTACCATTTCAGGTTCAGACACTGTAATATTTGTGTGACTTTGGCTAAATGACATAATCTCTTGGAACCTCAGTTTTTTCATCTTTAAAATGGAGATATTATTTACCTTGCAAAGCAATTTTCAGGATTAGAGCCAATTCATCAAAAGTGTTTAGCTTGTAGTAGATGCTTGATAAATTATATTTCTATCCTCATCATTAGTACCATTATCTAGCATATCGCTAGAGGTATATGGATAATGCTGAAGAGCAGAACATTTAAAAAAATCTACTGTCTTAGAACAGTGGTTCTCAACCTTCCTAATGCCGCGACCCTTTAATACAGTTCCTCATGTTGTGGTGACCCCCAACCATAAAATTATTTTCGTTGCTACTTCATAACTGTAATTTTGCTACTGTTATGAATCATAATGTAAATATCTGATATGCAGGATGTATTTTCATTGTTACAAATTGAACATAATTAAAGCATAGTGATTAATCACAAAAACAATATGTAATTATATATGTGTTTTCCGATGGTCTTAGGCGACCCCTGTGAAAGGGTCGTTCGACCCCCAAAGGGGTCGCGACCCACAGGTTGAGAACCGCTGTCTTAGAATGTTGTGTCGGAATTAAATTGTTGTATATATTTGCTAAAATTTGTTAAATTTTGTGAACTCATTGTTAGGCAAAAAATGTTGTAACATACAGGTAAGGTAAAAGAAAAATGACAAACACACAGATGCATACACAGAGAACATTTTTTCTAGCAATGAGTCAATTTTTAAAACATGACCCCATGTTCTGAGAGTGCAAGTTGTTTAGAAGGGGAATTTTTGGAGAAATAGTAGTCTCTTCTCTGTGAAGGGAAAATATTGAAGCAAAGAGGTAATCTGAGACCAGAAGGAAATTAGAATTAAAACAAGATAAATTTAGCCCAGTTAAATAAAACATCTTTAATTAGGTTATGGGGAAGACCAGGTGTTAAGTTAGAACAGATTCAGACTTTAGTCTGAGAAAGAAAATAATTATTTATAGAATTGTGAAGGATGACAGACATGATCCAGAAAAATAAAAATGAACTGAAGCAAGAAAATGATAACCTGGTAATTAAATAGTATTTTAAGAGTTTTGTATATTTTATATTCAGGGAAATATACTGAATACATCTTCTAAATCAGCTTATTTTTTCACTTCTTGTATTAGTAACATATTCAATCTTATTTTTCATGTATTTGTTTATTTTCAGCAATGACTGATAGACCCTATGTAGGTCCTGGAAAAAACAGACAATTTGGACACTGCACCTGAGCTATGGCTCATGATCTGTGGGGGCACCTACTCATCAGCCAATCATAATGAATGTGGGGCACAGATTAAAAATATTTGGTTATATTTTTGTTCATAAACCATTAGTATCTGCCACTAGTTTGAAGTCTAATCCACAATAGTCCAAATTCCTAGGAAGCTCCAGAGACTTCAGGGAATTAGCAAGGAGCTCCATGTACATCTTCCTAGTTAGAATGGTAATAGTTCAGTTGAGATGTATTACTGGTCCTAAGCCCAGTTACTTTCATTGTTCTAAGAAAGCTAGCCCCTTGCACCATCCCTATGGACTTATATGCTGCTGAGGAGTAGACCTCAATGGATTAATTGTATTTTCAAAAGTGGTGGTTCAGTATCACCGATTCCATACGGTATTCTACAGTATGACAAGGTCATCTCCTCCCTGATTTAGAGAGGTAAGTCTATTCTTTCTTCTTTAGTCTGACTGGGCTGTGGTTGCTTCTGCAAATAAGTTATAGAAGATATGACTTTCCAGGCTAAGTCAAAAAAGGCCAGGCATCTTCCACCTGTTTCCTTTGGACACTTGCTTACTCTTCAGGAAGCAGGCTGCCATGGAAGAATCCCATGTGTAGTCACTCTGACAGCTGAGCCCCAGCAGCAGCCAGCATCAACTATTAGCCATCTTGGATGTTCAGCTCAGTCAAGCCTTCTGATGACCACAGCCCAGCCAACATCTGAATGCCTGTTCTTGGGAACTCTGGGCCATCTGTAAAAATCCATCTACCTTGCTGGGGAGACCACATGGAGTGGAGAGGCTGGGACTGCATGGAGCTGGAGGGAGCCTCCAGTTGCATCCAGTCCCAGCTGTCTTCTGACTCCAACTGCATGAGAGACCCCAGAAAGGCCAGCAGCAGAACTGTCCAGCTGAGCCTGGGCAATCCACAGAACTGTGAGCGAGAACAACATGGTGGTTATTTAGAGCCACTTAATTTTGGGGTGATTTGTTCTGCATTAGTAGGTGACCAAAACAATGGAGAAGTTAGGAGTTTTAATTGGGAGTCAGAGAATTTGCTTTTTTTGGGGGGGGGGATCCCAAAGGCCACTGATCAGCTGAAGAAATAACACAAATCAAATTCTGTCAAAACCTTCTGAAGGACTTGGCCTTGCAAGCCAGGAAACATGAAGCAAGGGCAGGAGTCATCTTTGCTATCTTTGGAAGGGACGATGGCACTCAGGCGAGGGGGTTACATTTAAAGAGTCCTGAAGCAGGCATCACAGGGCTGATGGAGGTTTCATAAGAGCGGTGTGTCACCCTATTGTCACTGTGGTGCCACTTTTAGGGTGCTTCTCTAATACCCAACAGGGAGTCCACAGTAGATACGCTGTATGAAATGGTCATTACAATATGTCCTAGGCAGGTTTTCCCCAAACCTAGGTGCCTCTGTCTCCTGGGTGAGCTGGCATCAGCCGCTTTAGTTTCTAAACCAAAACATTAGGAAAGAAGAGATTGTCTCAGCTCTTCTTTGATTGTCTCAGACACGGTGCACAGACACTCTTGTGCAGAGCTCCTTTCTTCTTGTGAAAACCCTCACTGCTGCTGGAGAAAGCTTTTACATCCACTTCAAAACGTGGAACACATCAGGAAACAGGGAGGCATTGTTTTTATGTTGCTATTTAATGAGCCCACACAAAGACAGCAGCAATTTTAATCACTCTGGCTACCCTTGTTTTCCCATCAATTCTGTTTCAAAGGCTTGCTTTAGAGAACATAGCGTTCTTTGAGGATCTTCAGAAGGGAGAGGCTCCCTCCGCTGTTTCATCTTTGTCTAGTCTTTATATGTAATTGGGCCAAAACTGCACAGTGGCACTTGTACTGGGAGACCCAGACAGCTAATGAAGACCCAGATAGTACATCCCCAATGAGATGACTACAGGGCGGAGATGCTCTAGGATCTTGGCAGAGCCAAGGACATGTGTCATTAGAAAAACAATTCACCCAATCTGTTGGCTTTCATATAAAAAACTATTGAAAATAAAGCTGTTAAATCTTTATCTGGCAGGTGTTTGGGACAGGATAATATGTTCTAGGGGTCATGCATCATAAAATGTTATCAAAGTCTGCTTTACAAGGGCTCCTTCTGAAAGTAACAATAAAGTAAAAAATTCTCCAAAGCCAATGCTGCTGCTAAAAAGCTATTTCATGGATCTAGAGCCACACGGTCTAATATAAATTTCTGTGATGATAAAAATGGAGTTTTTGGCTTGAATTTCAGCAGCTGCTAGATCCATGTAGCTATTGAGAACTTGAAATGAAGCTAGGAGTTGAATTTTTAATTTTATTTAGTGTCAATTAATTAAAGTTTAAATGTAAATAGCCACATATGGCTAGTGGCTAGTACTTTGGACAGTGTGGCTCTAGAGAAACAGATGGTAAATATAAAGAGGTTTGGAAGATGTTTTAAGGTAAAGTATAAGCAGTGGTTTAATAAGAAATTAAAGTTGCAGGATGAGCAGATTTCATTAGTTTATTTAATTTATTAATTCAACAAATATTTGTTAAGGGTATCCTCAAATTTGAGGGCCATGGATTTGGAGGAAGGTGAAGGTTTGGCCACAGTATAAATGGTTATCAGGCCCAACATCTGGCTATTCTGCCTCCAAAAGAAGGACTCTCTTACATCCCGCAGCACTGCAAAGACACACTGGCTTACAAATGCTGTAAAGACATTGAAAAACTCACCATCATCCATAATTCCAATGGTAACTCCTTTCCCTGTGTAGCCCAGCTCCCAGGCTTCTGCCACATTCAAATCAAGGCCAGGAGTGCCATCGGCTTGTCCAGTATTGATCTGGTACAGGAATTCCAAGCAGAGAATCTTATTAGTTTAGTGGAGTAAAGCACCCGTGTAAATGTTTGTTTCACATGCTCTGCAGCCGTCTGCTAGTCCAAGGCCAGCTCAGAGGCCACATCTTCCCTGAACCAATACTTCTGGGCATCCCGCCACCAACCTCTTCCAGCCTCCTTTAATTTTTTGATATACACTGTTAACGCTTTATATTTTTTATAAGTATGCAAACACAGTTTCAATCCTCCCATCTTTTATGACCAGGTTGTGATCTTTAAACTCCATAGAGCGGCCATTTCCAGAAACCCTCCTCAGTTTAGAATTAAGTGCTTGCTTTTGTAGTTCTTTTTTTTTATAAATATATTTTATTGATTTTTTTACAAAGAGGAAGGGAGAGGGATAGAAAGTTAGAAACATCGATGAGAGAGAAACATCGATCAGCTGCCTTCTGCATGCCCCCTACTGGGGATGTGCCCACAACCAAGGTACATGCCCTTGACCGGAATCGAACCTGGGACCCTTGAGTCCGCAGGCCGACGCTCTATCCACTGAGCCAAACTGGTTAGAGCCCTTTTGTAGTTCTTGATTTATATTTCACATTTTGAATTTAGCACATATTCTTTGGGATTATTCTTAGGTGAATATGATTTCCTTACTACATCCAATATCCTTTGCAAGAGGGAGATGATCTATTTACCTTTGTGATTTCAATACTACCACATCGATCTTGCTTTAAAAATATTTGTTGAGCTGAATTAAAGATAGCTGGCTCAACTTTAGTGCATATTCTCCCCCTTAAAAAATCCAAAGATGAAATAAAGGAAAACAAAAGAAAAAAATCCCAAATAAATGTGCTCACTACCCTCTTTGCATGCATCTTTGTCCTGTGCAGATTTTCTCAAAGATGAGTCATAAAAAAATAGTGACATCAGAGTTTGTATTGGCAGAAACTCACAGTGACCAATTGGCCGTTACAGTGTTACTAAAACATTGTGTGAATGTCATAGTGCTCTTCATAAAAATGGCCACTCTTCTTCTCCAGGCATTTGTTAAGATTATACCTCTCCATTCCCTTGGAAGTGAGAATGACCATGTGACTGATTTGGCCAATAGAATATGAGCTTATGTGTCATCTGTCACATCTATGTGGAAGCTTTAAGAGCCACTGTGCAATTTGCCCCTTCCTTTCCCTCATGTGCTCATGAAAGCAGGGATCAAGATGGAGTGGAGATGGAGTTTGATTTGCCTGAGTCCCTGATGGATTATGAAACATTGGCAGCATAGCATGAGTGAGAAACTCTGATTTCATTAAGCCACTGTGATTTGAGGGTTGTTATTGCAAGAAACATAGCCTATCCTGGCTAATATAGTCATCCCTTTGTATTGAGGGGATGGTTTCAGAACCCCCAAATACATGGATGCTCAAGTCCCTTATATAAAATGGTTTGGTATTTGCATATAACTTACGTTTTGCATATAGGTTACAGCCAGATATGCCTACACTTCATTTGTGTGGATTCAGCATAGTGCTCTGCATGTGGCAAATTAAAATTTTGCCTTTTGGAAATTTCTGGGATTATTTTTTAAATATTTTCAACCCCCAGTTGGTTGAATTGTGGATGTGGAACCCGTGGATATGAAGGGCTGACTGTACACATAAGTTTATTTAGTTACCCAAATGGAATTTTCAGAATTCCATGCCCCAAAGCATAAGGCATAGTCAAGTTCTAAAGCCCCAAGAGAGGGGTTTGTGGTGTATTCCTATAAAGTAGCAGTCCATGGGTCATAATTTATTTTCTCTTTTTCTCAACATCTTTTAATCTTAAATAAAGCTTCACTCACATTGATAAATTAGTCACTCATTTCCCCTCTATATGCCCTGCAGTTTGGTTTGCTTGGAGGCTTTGAACATTTTTTCAACATAACTCAACTCATCCAAATGGACGGACTCTTGGTGAGCCAGAAAATATTCACTATCAGACAGATGGGTTTCCCTGCCTTGAATCCTGCATCAATTAAGTACCATGGAACTGATTTCCTGCCATTATTTGAGGAAACACTGATAGATGCTACTTTTGCTACTTTAGTTTTCGAGGTCTCTTGCTTGTCTCTTGTGTAGTCACCTGATTCTTTGTCTTATATCTGTGGTTTCATCATGTCCTACTGTTACTCTGACGCTTGAGACCCCACATAACTCTTTCCAGACCTTTGAGTTGAACTTTACATGTTTTCGCATCTTCATTCATTCATACACTGGGGCACTTTTCAGGGTCTGGGAGAATCTGATCTGCTTTGGGTAGTTGCTTTGACCCTAGGAGGCCATGGCTACTTAGCAGTTCAGAAGAAAGCAGATTAAGGAATGAGATGCTTGGGTGGTGCTAGAAAATCAATACGGATCAGAGGGGACAGAGCAGTTCACAGAGTCGGATGCTGGCTAATGTCCCAAAGAATAATGAGGAAATGGAAATGCATTTTGTATCCGAAGTCTCAAAATGAGAAACGTTAGGAACAATACAGAGACACTTACCAGATACCATTGCTTTGTAAAAAGAGGATCATTCATGTTGATATCGATCTCATTGATATCTCTATACCCTCGCTTTTTCCGTTGGAATCCTTCTTGTTGCAAGGCCATCTTTACCTGGAATGACAATACTGGCACATTACCTGACTATCAACCTAAACATTCCTCTTTTGAAATTTATTTCCATGAATTCAAGTTCCATTTGTATATGAAGTGTTTTTTTTCCTCACCCGAAGCTAAGCTCATCTCATATACACTCGCACTTTCTGATTATTTTCCAAGGGCATCTACTTCTGCTTGCAGTGAGCAAACAGGCTCAGTGATGGCTCAAATGAGTTTCCCTAAATAAGAATTAGATGGAAAAAGTACTCTCAAGGAAGGTAAGGTGGTAGGGCCATTAAGAGAAAGAAAACGAAGCAAAGGAACACTTCTATGAAGGAAGGGAGAGTGATATAGATTCAGGGAGGGAGAGAGTGAAACCTCATTGATCATTTTTTCTGGAGGGCTTCTCAGCCTTTCCATTTGTTGATAGTACTGTACTATCACATTTGGGAATCAGCCCAAAACAAAAACAAACAAACAAACAAACAAAAGACCTGTGTGGAGAGCCAGTAAGCCCACAGCAAAGATGTAGAAGGTAAGCGAGGGACCTTTGAAGAGAAATTGATGGATGGTGCTGCTGTCCTTGCAATGACAACACTTCGGTTTTGGACAGTAAAACAGAACCCCAAGCCCTTGGATGGAAATAAAGCTCAGGAGCTGAAATAGTTCAAACAGGCTCCTGGCAACAGTTAGGCTCTGTCTCAATCAGAAAACTTTCTTTCACTTGGGAAAAACTAATCTATCACCCAATAGCTGTGGCCAGTCTCTGAACGTCTATGCCCTCACAGACTATGCAAATATATAAAAAAGTGTGTGCTGGAAACTTATTATTTATTTAAGTTATATTTTTCTGCCTGACATTTATTTCTCCTTTTACCAAATTTCCCCAGTATATTAGGGGAAATATATATATATATATATCACTTTATTTCTCTTAATGGTTCTACCACCTTATCTTCCTTGAGAGTACTTTTTCCACCTAAAGAGTCCTTTTTCCACCTAAATCTTATTTAGGGAAACTCACTTTGAGCCATCACCGAGTCCACTAGGTTCCGTGTCTGCTGTAAAGAGACTGAAGCTCTCCTTGCCACAGAGGTGCTCAGTGGGTATCTCTCTTCCAGGATCTGAATCCTATCTTCCAGGATCTGAATCCTACTGGCCAGCCCTGGGGCTCCCTCAAGATTGATCCTTCAGCTTCTCATAGGTTGTAAGCTCCCAAACTTTTCCAACAAGTTCTCTTTTGCGTAAGTGATACAGAATCTATTCCAGTTGCTTGCAATCAAAGTCAAGAGTGGTGGTGGGCAGGGAAGAATGAAGAGATTGAAGATGTGGCCCAAACCCTTGTCTTCCTGCTTCCCTGGAATGTGGAAGAATGCTGTGGGGGAGTAGCTCCTCACTTCCCCATCCACACACTCACACAGAAGGCTTGGGGCTCATTTGCCAGAAAAAACTCTTAATTCTATCCAAAATGCTAATCATATAGAAAAGAAGTGGCAGGTATAGCAAGAGTAATTGACCAGGGACCCCAGCTGCTACACTCTGAAATCTAGCGTTTGCTCTGTGAGTTCTTTGGAGGTATTGCAGCAAGAGACATTCACTGGGGTGTAGTTTCTATAAAAATCCCCCAAAGAAGTAGCAATATCATCGAAAAAAAGGGATAGTTATATTTTTTAAAAATATATTTTTATTGATTTCAGAAAGGAAGGGAAAGGGATAGAGGGATAGAAACTTCAATGATGAGAGAGAATCATTGATTGGCTGCCTCCTGCACACCCCACACTAGGGATGGAGCCTGCAACCCAGACATGTGCCCTGACTGGGAATCTAACCATGACTTCCTGGTTCATAGGTCAACCCTCAACCAGTGAGCCATGCCGGCGGGGCTACATGGATATTTTTATAATGGCAAAATTTGGACACAACTAGTGCCCATCAGATGATTCCAATTTAAATATATATGCATATACAGGGTGTCCCAAAAAATGTACACACACTTTAACAGCTGATGACTCAATTTTGAAAATGAAATGTATTTTAATAAACAATGCCTTTATAATTACTCAAAATGTATGTATACATTTTTTGGGACACCTTAAATATGTTTATATGAAGCAGATGCCAAGATGGGATTAAACATGCAAGAAGTTTATTAGGAGAGAAAATGCAAGAAACTGTGTTGCAAGTCTGGCCCCATAGAGAAGAGAGTGTACAAAGTTGGGCAAAAGAGTCCTTGACTGCCCCATAGTCTAAAGAAGGTTTGGCAAAGCTGTTGGGGATCCAAAGTGGGCTGTCAGAGGGCCCCTGTGTCTCCCAGGGGTAGGTCTGCCTCAGTACTCCTGTCGAGCTCAGTCACTGACTGGAGCAGCCCTGGCCAGCGTGGCCTGTTGCCAACACGGTAATAGATTTCAGAGTGCAGCTGCTGGGGTCCCTGGTCAATTACTCTCTCTGTCGTCAGGGGCCTGTCAGCATGTTCTCACAGCTGCCACAGAATATATCCACGCATTTATATATGTGTCTCTGTGCTTGTGTGTAAGCATTAATGTAGAACATTTAAAATGTCCAAGTCAATGTAGTTTTCAACCTGGAAAGAACCAGACACACCCTCATAAAACCTTTTTAATACTATGAAAGCAAATACAATAGCCCCCCTTTATCCACGTTCCAAGATCCCCAGTAGATGACTGAAACTGCGGATAGTACTGTGTTTTTTCCTACACACACATACCTTTTTACTTAAAAGAAGCACTTTAGGGCTTCTCTTTGGCATATCTGAATTGCCAGCATCATTTGTGCTTTGGGGCCATTATTAAGTAAAATAGGGGTTATTTGAACACAAGCACTTCGATACCTCCATAGTCGACCTGATAATGAAAAAGGCTAGTAAGTAACTGAGGGGGTGAGGGAGAGCATACGTAGTGTGGACACACTGGACAAAGGGATGATTCACATCCTGGGTTGGTTGAAGCAGGACAGCGTGAGAATTCAATATACTCACAAAGGCACATAATTTAAATAGAATGTATTGTTTTTTTCCATTTAATATTTTCTGACTAAGGTTGACCACCAGTAATTTAAACCACGGAAAGCAAAACCAAGGATAAGGGCAGAACCTATATTCAAATAAGGGTGCCACGTTAACTTGGGAAGGAAGGAGCCTGGATTCGGCCATCTCATCTTCCCCTTTTGGTCCCACAGCCTGGCCTCTATCTGCTCTCCTCACTAAAGGAGGTGGTTATTGGCCTGCCCTGAGGGAGTCTGGTTACAGTGGATTCATCATTAGGAATGAACAGCTTCCCTTTGCTGCGATCTCTGCTGAGCAGACTACCTACCATGTGGATGTTTGAACGCTCTCATCTGCAGGTTGTTTCCCAGCAGCATAAACACAGGAGGACACATCAGGTTTCATCTTTTTAAATATTCAATAGCAGCGAAAGCTAAAGCCATGTTACTCCCAAATCAATTAGACCGAGTACATCCAAATGATAAGACTGTTTAAATCCATTTCCATAAGATTAATTTTCAATTTCATAAATTAGGTTTTAATGGAGACCAGTGATGCTTTGGAATGTGACCCTCTGATGCCACCCTCCTTGCAACTCGGGAGCACCAGAGCAGGACTCCGTTGTCTGAAATTATGCATCTCGTGCTACTAAAAATTAGGCCTCGGAAGACTGCAGAGGGCTTTATCTTCATGATCTCAATGAAAACCACAGCTACAATTTCAAGAGAGATGAGCACCTTTAAGACATATTTTTACTTATTACACTTAAATAACTGGAAAACAATTCTATCCCCCCTGCCACAACAATACCATGTAACACCATCAATTGCTTTTATTTTTCTGGGTTCTTTTCCAATCTGAATTTGCATTCAAATCTAATTTTTACATAACAGTAATCATATTATAGATAAAATTGTGCACCTTCTTCACTAAGTATCCAACCGTAGGAATTTTAATATGCTGTTATATAGCTCTCATATTTTAATTTTAATGGCTATCTAAATATTCTATAGAGTAAAGTACCGTAATTTACCCAATGATTTCCCTCCTATTGGTCATTTGGATTTTTTTTATTATCATAAGTAAAATTGCCAGGAGCAGAAAGATGAGGTTATAAACTACTTTTAAAGACCTCTGGGGAAGAATTCTGTGTTATAATTCTATTTGTGAGAAAGCCCTAAATGTCAGAGAAGTATTTCCTAGTGTCTACGTTCCTTCCTCACATTATAACTAAAAGGCTGGTTTTATTCTCTCTTCCTCCTCCTCTTAATTATAGCCTTTCACGCAGGATACCTTTCATTGCCACTTAGATATGGTCCCAATGACATGCATGGGACTTAATTATAGCTTCTTACCTTCTCAAAAAATAATGTACAGCTAGCATTGGTATTTCATTTTAGAATACTTCCCTAAGTTGGTCCATAGACCTAAATATTTACACAAATAAAAAATATAAGAAAGCAAGCATGTTTTGTTACTGGGTATTATTTTATTAAAAATGAACAGATGGATATTTTAAACCTGAATTTGACACATGTGCACAGCACAAATTTTACCTGAGCAGCTCCTATGCCCTCCCCCTCTACCCCTCTCCTCAATTAAGAATTCTTCAGTCGTCTGAAAAATGTTTCTGTGCATCTACAAGCAGGTTCGATCTCTGGGCATTAGCATACTATTTTAAAAGTTACATTAACATTTAATCTTGTCAACAAAACTGTGGTGTTGAGAAAACAGAGGTTCTGAGGCCATTGTCCAACAGTTGCAAGCATGGTGGAGTCATCCAGGTTCATCACTTCTAAATGCTATGAACTCTTCACTAAGGCACATTGCCTCTCCCTAAGGTACGGGACACAGTCAACCTTCCAGTATCTGGAGGGCTGAACGGTGGATGTTAACTTTCTAAAGAGCAGGTACTGGATTGCTTTTTCCCTGGGCTGATGATTAAACAGCTGCTAATTAGCATTAACTGTGCTGAGCAGGGGAGGGGGGAGAAAGGGGAACAATAGGAAAACCT